GTTTTATTAAAATTTAAGGATAGCAGGTTAGCTTCAAACCATTTGTTTATGGCTAAGAATTGTTTATTCATATTAATTTCCAAATTATGAGGGCTCGAATCGGATATTATGATACTAGTATCGTCAGCGAATAAAATAATCTTCGCATTATTTGTTATTACTTTGGGTAAGTCATTAATATACAATAAGAAAAATAAAGGACCTAATATAGAGCCTTGTGGGACACCATATTTGATGATCTCCCAATCAGAAAAGGTGGTATTATAGGTTGTCCTATTATTTAATACTACCTTTTGGTATCTATTGTTCAAATAAGACTTGATTAATTTTTTAAATACTCCATTTATCCCATAGTATCCCAGTTTATTTAAAAATATTTCGTGGTTAACACAGTCAAATGCTTTCTTCAGGTCACAGAATATGCCCCCAATAATTAATTTATTGTTCATGGCTACTAAAATTTCATTTAATAATTTAAAAGAGGCCCTATTTGTTGTAGAGTTTTTTCTAAATCCATATTGATCACTAGCAAGTATCTTATTTTGTATTATCTGTATATCTGTGGTGACTTGTTATCACCTGTATGGATTACTTGAAATATCGATCAATTAAAGAAAACACTGCAGACCACAATTTTAATTACCTTCTCCATCATCAAATGGTACAGAGTACACAAAACTGTCCTCTTCCACATAATGCTGCTCAACAGCTCTCTTGTACCATATTTCATCTATTGCTCGGTTGTGTATGTCACCAAATCGCCTGCAGAATGGACCACAACAATTAATATAAAGATACCTACATAGTACTTTGAATTTGCTCATAGGTGAATTTCACTCTGAAAATATTTATAACCTCATACTGCTCAGTATCCTGACATCATTATCTAAAAATAAACGTGATATCTTACCTGTGGTTGTTTGTTCCTTGTTTCATTAGGGGTACCATTTAAATTTTTTAGTTCACATATTGTCAAATAAGAACTGAAAGAATTGTGTGCCCTTTTCATGATGTGCACTATATCATGTCTACTCGTATCTGTCCATCCATCTGTTCACAAGATTCAACTCTAGGACCACTCGACAGAGTTTGATGAAATTTGATATGAATGTTATGCCTTGTAGAGATGGCCCTAAGCATGCACATATATTTTACTATATCTGGTAGTAGTAACATAGAGGCATAGACTGAGGGTGTTTGTGAACAGGTTGTTGAGGAGAATATTTGGACCAAAGAGAGATGAAGTGACAGGAGGTTGGAGAAAACTGCATAATGAGGAGCATCATAACTTGTACTCTTCTCCAAGTATAATTAGAATGATCAAGTCAAGGAGGATGAGGTGGGCAGGTCATGTAGCATGACTGGGGGAGACGAGGAATGCGTATAGGATATTGGTGGGAAAGCCAGAAGGAAAGAGACCACTGGGAAGACCAAGGTGTAGGTGGGTGGACAATATTAGAATGGATCTCAGAGAGATAGGATGGGATGGTATGGATTGGATACATCTGGCTCAGGATAGGGACTAGTGGAGGGCTCTTGTGAACACGGTAATGAACCTTCGGGTTCCATAAAATGCTGGGAAATTCTTGAGTAGCTGCAGAATTGGTGGCTCCTCCAGAAGGGCTCAGCTCTACGAGTAAGTAAGTAAGTAAGTAAACAACATAGAGGACTGATGTACTTATGAGGTGGGAGTAAAAGTAGCACTATTTTCAAAAACGTAACCATAGTAACCAAAGTTGTATTCAATATCAGAAATATGTTAATCAAAGCTCCTTAAAGCAACAAGAACCATTCAGAATGCCAAGGTACAGAGAATGATGTGTGTAGTATGATATGAACTACACCTTTCACATCTTGTTATTAATGGTGACAAAAGAATTGAGATTAATCATATTTGATCTGAAATCTATGTAATGGATGGGTCATATGGGAATACTATTGAGTGAAATTACATTTTTCTAGCAAGTTTTAATGCAGAAGAAAGTAACAAACTCCACTGAAACCTGTTACACAGTTTTGGAGATGAAACATATACACTAGGTGTAGAGAACACATACAAATCAACTGTTATGCTTACAGTTGTTCTCTGTTCTCCTCCCCAGGTAATTCCTGCCATCTGGTGAGTCCACTATGAGTTGCAACAAATGCAATTGTAACACCAAGCCTCTGCTGAAACTCCTTCCTACAAACACATGAGCCAATTACATTTTAAGATATCCCCAAATGTAAACTTGATTACACAACATCAAAAAAATGTCAACAGTTATAAGCACTATTGGAATGACATGTGAGACATTATGTTTCATAAAAGCAGTCACACAATTCTTACCCATTAAACCTTTTACGTTTTATGAATAATCCTCCTGCTACTATATAAAACTTTTGTTTCAAGTTATATATTGCCATTTAATTTCATATCACTATAACAAAATAGAGTGAATAAACAGACTACAGCTTAGAAGTGAATGACATTTATAATCAGCTCTATTATCTCCTATAAATATAATTTTTAACACTTTTACCGACAAGATTTTCTCTCACTGTTAAACAGATTCATCATCTTTGTAGACATAAAAGTTTTAGGCTTATTTATGTTAGTAAGAAGGTACAAATAGGGCCAGAAGATGGCAGTATTGGGCATGATACATGAGTGGGCATTACAGTATCCAAATTTGATGAAAACTTTTCTCTATGTAACAGTTCCACTTTGTGAATATTGTTATTCTATCAAGTTTAGCATCTTGGTATAAACGTGGATGTCTCTCCAGAACCTGACGTGTTACTGAGGTTAGATATTTTTGACACTTGTTTTTAATAATTTGCTGTAAACTTTCTACAGGCCTCATTATACTTGTAGGTATTGTATAATGGATAAAATTCACAAGTTTCATATACAATATTTAAATTATAAAGAGAAAATTACTCAAAATTTGTAGAGTACTATCTTTCAAAATGTGATGCCATACAGTTAAGTAAAAGTTTACTGATTTTTCAGAAGAACATGTTGCTACCCTCTTCAGGGTCAAAGAGTAAGCCAACCAAGCAACCAGTAAGAAGCAAGCAGGAAGCAAAGTGCAACCATTATGCTTACTTGGCTTACTCTTCTATCCTGAAGATGGAGGTAGCAAGTTCCTCTGAAACATTAGTGAGTATCTATTAGATGATATGGTATCACATTCCAGAAGGCAGTACTCTTCAGTCACTGACATGAGAACATCACATCTCAAAATTTGTTTGTCTGTAAGGCAACAGAATTGACTGGATCACATGGAAGATTCCAGAGTCATCATGTAAAACTAAATCTGTGCAAGTTAGAAATACTGTATAGTAAAATTCTGGAAGAAAAACTGTTCAGTCATCTATTGTTGGAACAGGAATGGCTGTTACATGGAAATCAAAATGTATCTGTTATAAATTTAGTTAAAAATGAAACTCACATACATCATCAATCAAAAGAAAATGTTACTTCTGAAAATGATGACAGTTATGAAAAACATGGCTTCTTAGATAAACAACAGAGCATGAGAAATAAGTCCTTTGCTGCTGCATAAATAAAAAATATTGCTTCCAGATTACAACATAGATTATGTTAAGAAAAATGTATCTGTGAACAATGCAAAACAAGGGATTAGTAACATGGATTTTAGCACTGAAACAGAAAGACAACGAGACTTAGTAAAACAAGAGATGAGAATGTCAGACACATCAGTCGCAATCATCCACATTTGACAAGGACAGGTAATGTTCTTTGCAACAGTGTGGATGTGAAGCTCTGAGAGGGTACTGGAGCACACTGTCATCATCCATCACTTTCTACAATAGTGAGTCACCTTGTGATGAACTTCCAGTCACATCTATCCTCCCATACATACTCCCATTCCTTCCTTATGCTCTTTTGTGTGGGATAAGATGCCTTGTAGTCTGGTATCTATTTATCAACATCTGAGAGAAACCTTCTGCCTCCATCTTCAGGGAAGAAAAATGGGCCATGTGAGAAAAGGGAGCCAGTGATGAATAGGACAAGACATGGACAAAAAGAGAACCACTGAGATTGGTGTAATTTTTTTTAAGTTTGTTACAGGTATCCATCATATTTTTCACTTAATGCACCTCATTTAACAAAAACAAACAATTTATCTTCTTAAGTTTGGGAATTTGCATGTAAATTTTATTTTAAATTAACAAATTTTAGCCTTACATACAGTCTTCATGAAACAAATTACCTTTGCAAATCAAGGGATACCTGTATTTAGTGATGTTGTCTGTATCAAGACTGCATAGCATCGATGACACAGTGATGAATGTGGAGCAGTAGGTAGAGTGAGAAGAACAGAATAACATGGATATAATCCTGTAGCTAAAAATGAAGAAACAATTGCACAACACCTCTTAACCCTTTTGATGTTATGGGATGGTTCAGTTACATCAGTCAGTAACTAGACTATATTCTGTAGCGTAAAATGATAATATGACTGATGAACAGTAAATTAGAAGTGATTTTAAATGAAGTGGTCATAGCCTGATTGAGATGCTATCCCAGAATTTGCCCAGAAGGACTGCGAAAGACACAAATAACCTCAATCAGGATATCAGATGTTCTGGTTCAGATTCAAAACAAGCACTCCCCACTGCAAATCCAGAGGATTGCTGCTACATGAACCTGCTCAGTGAGGCCATGTTATGTGCAAAATTAGGTTACAGTGGGTTTCCTTTTGGCATCTCAGTACCAAATCTTGGGGTTCAGTGTTTCACCATGCCTAATCTACTCGGCAGTACTAAACTCCAGTGGTTTCTGATATGGCTAATACAGTACAGAATGTAGTGATTTGAATTAATTTGGTAGCACAACACAGAAGAATTAAATAGCATTACAAAGGGTTAGATAATATTCACACTCTATTACATTATATTGTACTATGTTGTTCCAGTTCTTCATTCCCCAATCCTTTTGCAGCATACTTCAAGCTCAAAATGTAACAGAAATGTAAGAAATCATTAAATAACATAGAAATGGATGAATCACTCTTTGTTACAAACTGCATCTAGCATCTGAATGGGCTGCTAAAACTGGGGTTCCCATGCAAAATTGCACATTTACTTTAGGTAACAGCAGAATGGCTCATCATATTACGCTACCATAAACCACTGTACATATTTTTATTAGACAGTTTGACTGAAGTAAGAACAAAATTGTAATGGCACACAAAATATCGATAAAATGCATGTTCTGAGCAGTAGCAAACTAACAGATGGCACTGGTGATGATGTATTCACACCCAAAATCCTGTAAACAAGTATATTTTGTAAAGACACAGTTGAATGATTTTTCCTTCGCCTTCTTTGACATGAGTTTGAAATGCAGTTATATATAATTTCAATAAATAGATGATTACACTGATTAAAGCAGCACAACAAAGTTATAATTACAGTCAACTGAAACAAAGAGAAATAGATTGGTAATTGACGCAGTTAACCCTTTAAAGCAAGTGCTTTAACATTAAGGAAACACTGTATTTTGCCCATACAGAATATTTATGGTTTTTCTAAGAATCTCAGAAAAACAAACAGAATTTCTTCCTAATAAAACATTAACTAAGTGGTCTTTATTATGGAGCCAGTGTGTTCCCTGTGAGATAGGAATTACTTTTATAAATATTATTTTTTTGAATTTTTGACTTCAAAGGGTTAATGGCTCTAAGACACACTTATGATTTCATACTTCAGCAGTGAAAGAAATAACCCACTATAAAAAGATGGTGAAAAATTATGGTTATTGTAATAGCTGACTTGTACTTTCTACCTAATATGGAACTTTGTTTTGCAGTTATTCCATCATGTACACAACATAAAATACTCGTATGATATAATCTGTTTAGGTAATAATGCTATGTAGATTTATTTTATAGCAATAAACTGAAATAATCCAGTCTTACTACCTGACAACCACACTACTAATAAACAATTCTATAACCATCTACATATTACAAGGTACTTTCCAGAATTTTTAACAAATTAAGTGGCAAGATGTATTCCTCTTTGAGTATACTTTTCAGATATGTTCTTTGCATAACATTTTTTATCTTTTTAAACACATACCATCTCAAAAATGTTTTAAATAAAGAAGTTACAGTTTCTTATTAAAGACATATAATTTTATATGACATAACCATGTTTTCAGTAAGAAGCCACATGTGTTGTAAGTATGAATACCACTCATGTAAAATATGATTTACAGTCTATAATGATGTTCATAACACATTTTAGTACCTTGTATTTATTTATTCGTGGTTTATTTAAAGCATTTCTAAGGCTAAACAGTTCATTAAAGAAGTTCAAAATCCACTGTCAGATTGCTGGGGTTATCATAGCTTCACTGTAGCCAAATTCATCATACATTTTTATGGTTCTTGACAGGAAAATGCCCAAGAGGAAGACCATGATCACTAGGATCTAGTTAGAAACGATGTCACACAGAAGAAAGGATTAACATAGGAGGAAACTGCTTGGAGAAGAGAGAGATAGGTGGAGAAACCTGCTTTCTAGACACCCCATAAAAGAAGTTGAAACATCAAATGAAAATGAAGAAAGTCGTCTTCTGGGATCTGGCACCGTGTATTCGTTTCAGCCAGATCCCAGAAGACGACTTTCTTCATAGTCATCGCCGTGAAAACCTCAAAACTTACATCAAAAGAAAATGGCTACAATTTGTTTAAGATGTTCTCAGTAGCTCTGATTACAATACATATCATTGCATGATATGATGGTTATGGAACTGTGAATTTGAAGTGACTTGGAAAAATAGGTCAGAACCTAATTTGAAGCACTATCCCTGAATTTGTCTGGAAAGATCTGACAAAAACCATGGAAAACTAGAACCAGTGGGTCTCCAGCATGAGATCTGAATCCGGGTCGCTACATATACAAGGGAAGAATGCAACCTCGCCTTGTTACGCTGAAATTTGTTACATCATGTGGGGGATAGTGTAAACTGCCAGTTTCATTCATTTCATTTCATTTATTCACCTTCCATAAATCCTGTAGAAAATACATTCTCATGCGGATGTGGAGATCGTCCTAGTTACAGTCACAACTAAGCATTACAGTTGTCATCCGACAGCATACACATTTGTAATAAAATACTGATAAACATATACAATATAATAAAGTAAGTTAATTTTAATAGTAAAAGTAATGGCAAACTTTATACAATTTGTACAGTTTTATACAAGTCTACGAGTATTAATTAAAAATTCAATAGTTATGGTATGCATAGCTTTATCCACCATGCACCAGTTCTGTCAGTCACCACTAGCAGGGCTACCCACTGTCCTTCCTCGGGCAGATATCACTATGATAGAAGCTACTTGAATTTGGATCATATAACAGTATATGTACAGAGAGCAGCAGATTCCCTCATCACAACAACCTGCACACCTGATGACGGCCAGTTTCACTTTTTTCACTTAGTGTGGGGTGGAGTCCAACTGGGTCCACTTGGCATGGCGGCCACTGATTGGCCTATTGTAGCCTGCCCTAGGTGACAATGATGGAGAATTTGGTGGAATGAAGATTGGCAGGGGAAACCGAAGTACTCAGAGAAAACCAGCCCCAGCATCACTTTGTCCACCACAAATCCCTCTTGACCAGACCTGGGATCGAACCCAGGCCGCCGTAGTGGGAAGCCAGCGACTAACCGCTTGAGCTATGGCGTGGCCTAGTGATGGCCAGTTACACCGAAACTTGTAGTGCGAGTAACGAGAAAACGACGAGAGAATACTGACATTGCACATAGACAACAAAAAAGTGCAATGCAACAGAATGTTGCAAATTTAATATTACAGTATATGTGACTGAAATATTTCATGAATCAATCTGCTATTTTGCCTAGGAAGACTCTCACGCAAGAACTGAAGAAGAAATATGTTTTTACATTGTACTGGGTTTCTGTCAGAGTTTTATCCCATGCATCTGACAGATTAATGTAACCAGCAGATCCAGTTCCCCATATACGCTATACGTACAACAGAGAGTTTACTCTATGTGTATATAAGTATAGACAGATGTGACTTCTCATTATGTGATTCATGCTTAAAGATCTATGCCTGAAGATCAAGTAAGTATGTTACAATCAGGAACTAACTATATTTATTTTACCAGTAAAACTAGATTCTGTTCATCACTCAAAAAAAAGAAAGGGCAAGACATGGTTTGATTAGGTACAGTATGTTAATGATATATTACTTTACCTTGGAAGCAGTACCATCAGCATGGCAATGGGGCTATCATGAACAAAGTGAATAGGAAGGACATGTAGAGTTAGTGAAACAGATGGTAGCCACGTGTTGTGATTCTCTGAAGGTGCAACACTGATGTATCAGTTTTATGTTGGACCATGTCTGCTGTTCAAGGCTATGTCTTCTAATCAGAGGCCTAAAGATCCCCCAATCCTTTTCAAAGCATTATGCAAAACTGTTGAATGTGACAACAGTTTTTATATATTGAAAGCCACAAGAATATTTTCAAAACAAAATTGAAAAAGAACAGTTACTGACTAATTATGGTAACACTGTGCAAACCTTAACATTGCATCTAGTAAATGTGAAGTTACCCCTATGTCTAGGCAGCACCTACAATAATGAAGGCATACAGGGCAAACAAAGGCAAATCTCCACACATTTTTAGCCTCAGCATTGGATGGAAGGTGAATGCTTAGAGATAAAAATTCCTGCAACTTTTGTGATTAGATTTCTGCCTATTTAGTTCATAGCCAATCACCGCTTTGATTCTAGTAACCATCACAATTACAATTAGGACACACTGGTATTAAAAATATATTCAATCAGGACCAGGGATTTGAATCAATTTTTATTTTTAATAAAGTTTAACTATCACCACTATTGAGTATTGAGTATGGAGGGGGTGGGTTACCCCATGCACCGCGACCAGTTTGATCTATTGTGCGTCCCCCTTTGAATTTCTACTGTCTCCATACCCTACCGGTACTGGTGCTTGCTATCGTTCCCTTCTGCCAGCGAGGTTTCGGCCTTCTACTGGCAGTGGTATCTAATAGTTAGTCCCTTTCTGTCAGTGAGGTCGTCCCTCCTCTGGCAGTGGTACCTAAGCTCCCTCATCTACCGGAGGCATTGGAAACTACTTGGGCAGAAAATTTGCCTAATTTAGCTCAGAGGTCTCCTAGAGACATGAGGTTCTTTTACGTGCCGTAAATCTACAACACAGGACCCACGGCTTAAAGTCCCTCCCGGAGGACTTGTTCCCTGAATTCCATGACCTCCGCTGGGTTTGAACCCGCATACCTTGAGTCATGAGGTGGGAACGTTACCCCTAGACTATGGAGGCTGCAACTATCACCACTAACTGATTGACTAATTTATCAGTGGACATAATTTGTTACACAAGGATGTTAATTTATTATCCAGTATTCACAGTAGCCTCAGAAGAAATCGAAAAATAAAATTTTGTTTGGGATACTTTTCAGTTGGACAACACAGATATAGAGCCAAAGGACAAAGCTGCCAACAACATACAAATTACTGAGTTAAAAAATCCAGAACTTTAATTAATGAAAACAGTACATAGAAAATGTACAGATAATGGATGTAGCAATTGTAACTAACTTTGCTACTGCACTCAAAACATTAAAGGTACAATATGGTTATACTTCGTAAAGGGGCATCCAATCGAGGAAAAAGAATTACATAAATGTTGGATTATTTTAATCCTTTAAATGTTTAACTTCATTCTAATAGTGTAACTTGAATGAGGAGCTTTGAAATTTATACTCATCATCAAATATTATTACAGTGATGAAATTATGGAGGATGAGGGTCTATAATATGCATGAGGAAGATGAGAAATGGATACACAGTCCAACATAAAATTAACACATACAACACATGCAAATTTTACAATTTATATTTTATTAAATTGCATTTCATTCACATTGCAGACACAGTGCTTACTGGATTTATAAGAACAACTTTGCAGATTAATATAGATTTTGTAAGAAAAATTTGGCAATAGAATTTGTACCAATTTTTCCATCATACACTTCGTTGGCGTAGAACATTAAATTTTTAAAATATCAAAAAGCTTAGAAACACTTTACTATATTCATGCTTTGAACCTATCCACAAATTTGGAAAATATGCAGATCATACAACATGACCCTTTCGATTTCCAGTTTAAAAAAAAAAAAATGTATTAATTATACTGTAACTTCTGAAACCATTACTATAATATCAAGAAGTAAATATTGGTTATTTGTAAATTCTGGCTTGATAAAGTAAAGTGCATTCAAAGCCAATGTTCAAATGTTTCATGAAATATAATGTCCATTAGTGCAGTTCACTGTGATCTGTGCGTAAACAGTGAAAGTGAAGAGAACTGAATGCTAGGGCAGCACACTGTGCACTAGAAGTGATTTATCAACATTGTAACTTACTTGGATTCTTGATTGGAACTCAAGTTTCTACTAGAGAACCCTTTTGTTGCTCGACCATCAAATATCAAAGACAGAAACAGTTCACGATCACCTAAAAGTAACGAAACAAATTAATATCAATGATAAACACAAATAACAGTCACAACAGTGCAATGAAATTATTAACAAAATCTTAATTTCATGTAAAATAGGGATTATATTGGATCAACACAGCTGAGAATAATATTCATCTGTTAAGTTTTGTATTAAACCTTAATACAAGATTTCATCAAAATCATTTAAATTTTAGAGATAAAAGATGGATAGACACAGATGGCCAATTCATTCTTTTTCACTTGGCATATATATGGCATAAAAATAGACCATAGGCTGCAAATAACTTTTAATGAGCCACAAAGAATTGATATGAGAACTAATGTCCCAAAAGGGTTCTGGGTTTCAGTCAGTAAAACAGTATGTTTGATATTTCTGCTGCTCTACCCTGTGATTTTTAGCTTTGAATGAATTAGTATATAATGGTTACCAAGCAGTACAATCTATATTATAAGCAAAACGCCAAGTTAATATACAAGAAAAAAATATTCATTATCTCTCCAAGCCCTTATATTAAAGATAATTTTACCTTCAATTGTCGTCTCTGAGTAGAATTAAAATTTGTCATTAAAAAAATATAAAACAAGAAATCTGACCTCACTGTAAGATTATAGTGATTTAAACAGATAATCATGACACATTCATCTCCAAAACACAAGCAAACATTATTAACTAACAAAATTATAATCAGTTTACAACCAAGATTTATAACACAGGTTTAAGGTAGTGTAATGTGTTCTACAGTTTAAGTAAGCTATTAACTTCCCTTGTTAATTGTCAGTTAAGAGCATGCATCAACATTTCAAACTCCACAGCTAACATGAATAAACACATGGGGTAATGTCAAAAACAGAAACAGCAAGCAGTTAATAGTAAATTAAAATCTCCCTACAGGAAATTTCTCTATATAGCAAAGAATTTTATGTAATCAAATCTTTACATGGTGGTTCTGAGATTCTCACAGCTGTGACTGCAAGGAATAAAATCTTCTGGGCTGCAATGCTGCATAGCTCAAAAGACGTCCTTGAACACTGGCAGACCACAGAACTACAGAACATTGTAACCCAGAAGACTGTACTCTTCTTTAATGTGACTTCTACATATCACAGAGAATCTTCAGTCCTTGAAAATGGAGCATAATACATGAATGCAGACTACAACCTCTACTGAATTTACTATGAAATCATTAATTTAAAAAGCTCTTCCTTCTGGTATATCTTTATTTTGCTTCCAAATTGTCATGACTCCTTAAACTTGAAGAACTGTACCCATGGTAATAGGACTATTTTACTCAAAATTGTTTGATTAATATACCCACAAATTTTAGTAGACTCCTCCTTTATCACCATATATAATGACCTCCCATACCATAAAACCTGACTTGTTGGTTCCTTAAATTTCTCTGCATAATAAATTTTCTGAAATTTATAAATTCACTGCATTTCGTTCAGATATGCAGATGTATGAAAGGTAGAAGCAGAGGTGTTCCTGTGTGTAACTAATTAAGCGCTATGCCATGAAGAAGTATGGAGAAGTGGATGTATAGACCCACGTTTTCTTGACCTTCACACTAGCTGGATGTGAGTCATCAGCTTCATGCCCTGGTTGCTTTAGCCCCAGGGAAAGATTCCCCAGTAGGCACTGGGTAGGAGGCTCGATGAGCCACAGAGCCGGCCTGGATGACATGAAGATGAGAGAATACTTGACCCTACAAGGACTTGAACTCTGACCTGTTGGTGATTCAGCTTGTAGCCAGTCACTATATCAACTGCGCTATCCTGGTTATTATGTAGATGTAGATGTAGTTATATATATACATAAAAAATACACACTTTAAAAATGTAATACCATGCAATATATGAAGTGGGAGAGATCAGTCAGTGCAGTGAATGTGTATGGGCTGGACTATCCTGGGCAGAAGTAGGGACACTTTCCTCTCCACCACTGAATCCAGACCACACATGGGGACCACCAAGACTTTTACTCAGTGAGTATTAATGAGCACCTCAGAGCTAATCAGCCAGAACAGGAAGCTGACTGGCACAATATACCTTCATGGCATGGGAGCAAATTTACATTCTAATGCAATGAAAATATTTGTATATTATTTTCCGCACATTCTATGTTTTGGCACAGAGTTCTCTCTTGCAAGTGTTTTAATGCTGAGGGAACAGCTTGGCAATTCTTGTACATTCTGTAGCATTAGTTTTGGTGCTAAGAAGGTTAAAACCAAACACTATACCCCATAACACACTATTACAATAGATATTCAATATGTTCCATCCAAAGAGTATGTTACACTTATATTTATTACTTCAATATAGATGACAAAGAGGTAAAAGACAAACCCTGTATATCCCAATATAATTGCCATGAATACTGATACATTTTCCCAGTAATACATCACCTGTATGTTCGATTTAGTGGAGAGATATTTGGGTGTAGAGTTCACGCCAGGCTGCTCCCTTCATGTGCTTCAGTTTTGTGCAACAGTGTGCATTCCCTAATGTCCCAGGGTCCAGGAACTGAAAGATGAGACATCTGGGTCTCAGAATGCCGTCAAAAGCAACTTATTAACAGACTGTTGGAAATTTCTTCTTCTTCCATCACTCAGTCTGACCCTTGAGTCCAGTGATTTCCATTTCTGTGGATCGCTGATGAAGTATTTTGCATGAAATGATGAAGCAACCAAAATGCACCAACTGATACAAACACTGAGACCTCATTTCTTCTTCACTGGCTTGCGTGGTGCACCAGTGGGGAAAATGTCTAAGTTTGTCTGGTGATTTCATGAAGAAGTTAAGGGTTTGTCCATTATTCCCTGTTATAACAGCCAGGCTATGGGTTGGATGATTGATAAATTTGGGTTCAATTCACTGCGGAGGTAAGAGATTTATCTCTTCTGCACAGCATCCAGACTTGCTCTATATCCCACACATCCTCCATCCAATGGGTAGAGGGTTGTTTCCCTTGAGTGCAAAACTGATTTCCTTTCTTCCTCTAGTGTCAAGGTTAAGCACACACAGAGCTTAATTCACTTCCCCACATGTCTTAATTGCATAGTGCTTAAATAAGCACATGACCAATTTTACTAAAAATAATAACTATCAGTATAACACATCCTCCGACAGTACTTACTGAAAAACTTATGTAGACGCTGTTCGCAATAAACCTGGCATGTATTAGTAAACCTGCATACAAGGCAGTGAACTATTTGAAATGTATGAATGCTGGCATGCCTAAGATTTGAGTGTCTCCGAGATCTGACATTCTCACAGTAGAAAGTTTCAAGATTATTGTCTTCTTTTTGTGCAAGGGCTTGTTAGGTCAAACACGATGTGATTTCCTAAATTTGGTCAAATAATTGAAGATTACTGTCTTTTGGAATGTGATTCCATGTAGTCTGTTAAATATTTTCTGAAGTTTCAGCAGAATATGCTGCCTCCATCTTCAGGGTGCAAGAGTGAGCATAGCATAGAAAGTAATGGTATGGATACAGGGAAAGGATCACAGTCCTGGTATAGTTTTCCTTGTATCCACACCACATTTTCAAATGGCTTATTCTTCAACCCTGAAGATGGAGGCAGAACATTCTCTGGAACATAAGTAAATTTCTACCAGGCTACATTGCATAACATCCTAGAAGACAGTAACCTTTAAATGAATGCCTGCTCCTTCCCCAGCTAAGGTACATACCATGCATTTTACTAGGTTACTGTGATCCTTCTTCACTACAAATGTATATTATTCTTTTATTATACGCTATAGTGCATTGTGGGAGTGTAGTGCCTTTTCTAGGATGCAAGTAATTTGTCACAATAGAATCTTTTTCTCAAATTTTTGTTTTACTCACAGAAATATGAGTCCTTGTCCAATTTTTCTGATTTTCCCCCAGATGTGTTAGCTGTGGAAAAGAAATAGTTTTGGCATGAGAAAATAAACTACAAAAAGTGTAGTGAATGACAATATCATTTTGTAGAGTGTAGATTTTGTTGCTCAGAATTAGAAATTTATGGCTCCATGAAGTAGATCCAGTAAAACGAGTGATGATCACCGGAAGACAAAAATAAAAACAGCGGGGAAAAACTGGAGAAAATAAAATAAAATATTTCATTCAAGATTGACAGGAAATATAGCATGCAAGGGGAATGTAGAATGCATAAGATATTTGTTTGGAAACGGTGGTGTAGATGGGAAGATAAAGTTAAAATGGATTTCAAAGACATACGGAGTGATGGAGGGGATCGGATTGACATCTGCCCCTCCCATTGACTTTTGTAAAAAACCAAAATTGAAGGAAAGAAGAAAATACAGCACGTCAATATTAAATCAGGTGACTTTTTGTCAAAGTGTGCAACAATCAACAACTCAAGAACTGCTTATTTTATGGAGACAGATATTCTAGTCAGTAGGACAGAAATATGGAGGAAAATAATACTTAAAATATAATTAATTAGACAGGGTTATTGAGACCTGTAACATTACAGCACAACAGAGTAAAGCAAATGAGCATAAAATGTCTCTTCAAGAGTTTACTGGTAATTATTTAACGTTTTAATGTATTCTTCGGAATATTTAGTTATTTGTTATTATTACTTGAGCTTTCAGTACTTCTGTGACAATCAACACCACACCAAAACTTAAAGTACATTGACAGTACAATCGTGTATTTAGTTACATTTTAAATGATTTAAATATATCAATTTTAGAGTCTGAGTGTCATCTCGTGTGTGATCTACTCCAGAAATATGCTCAAGTGTGAGAGGAAATTATTTTATTTTTGAAAGCCTGTTACACTGTTCCTAAAATATTCTATACCAGTGACATCATAAATACTGCAGAAAGGAACATTTTCATGGCTAATCTATAGTTTTAAGTCACAAGTAGCTCTGTAATGTAGGAATAGTGAAATGGATTGCTAATGTACATTCTGGTTGGCACCACAGTTATTTTATAAAACTGAAGACTGTAACACTCAGATATCTGTTCCAGCCCCTTCCACCCACCAAATCTGCATAAATATAACATACATATACAAATAAAGTATCATTATCATAATAATAATCACTATTATTATCATTCATCCAAAGATAATTTTATTATCTCTTATTTTATTCGCTTTTTATTTAGTGAAGCTTTATATACTAGTAGAACAGATTATATAACATTGAATAATAGGTTGATCAATGAATACTGAGTTTGAAAGGATGTGGAAGGAAGCGATCATGATGTAGTATCCTGGAATTTACTTGCAGCTACATAGGAAAACCCTACAGATACCTCAGACAGGACAGCATGTCCCTAGGCCAAGCTCTGAATTTGGAATTTCCCAAATATGAAATAGGAATGCTACCCACTTGGCTGCAATGCTCGGTTTAAGTTATCTTGTGACAGAGCCTTCTCTGACCTGCTGTATCACAATGTAAACATTCTTTCCTTGCTCTTCTTTGTGTATTTTTTGTGACTTGATCTCCTCAGTGTTTAGCTATTATTATTGTTTGGTTCATATTATATTTTCTCAGTCCAGTTATTGTGGTTATAGAATTAATGCTTTGCTGAATGTATAACACAGCATTGCATCTCTAATCATGTTATATACTGAAGCCATCTTCAAACAACAAGCTCAGCACCACCTGCTGTGTTAAGACTATAGGTTTCTGATCATGATCTGAAATAATGACTCTTAAGGCGCATCCACATTACTCATGCTCATGTGATTCGCTATGCTTGCGAGTAATGTGTATGATATGACAAGTCACGAGACAAGCAAATTTTAAATTTTTAATTTAAAAACTATAGCCAATAAATTAAAATACTACTACAGCCTATACACACTAAGAGTAAATATATGGATCCTCACGTGCTGAAGCCTGGCAAGATTTACGAGCACAAGTTAAAGCCAGACGAGTCTCCTGATGAGAACAAGCCTGGCGAGCACGAGCACGAGTAATGTGGACACGCCTTTATACTGGACACTGTCAAATGTCTCAAGTGTTCTTTAAAAGATGATATTTAAGGAACTCAAACTGTTATCTTCAGGTGTGAGGGAGGAAAGTTTCCTACTCAAGTGTGTCTATTATAAAGAGGTAGTCTCAGTCACGCAATCAATGACAGAAACATATCCATTTTCAGATATGTTGTGCTTTAAAGAGCTGAAGATGATGGACAGTATAAAAACAATAGTTATACTCAGTACAATGAGTTGTTTTACATCACATGCTCGTGAACATTTCAGTATGACTTGTTTACTGAACCAGCAAAATTACAAACAATATGCTATCAAAATACCAACATCTAACACACATTATGAATAACAAAGGGAAGTGATGAGCACGCATGTAATATGTTTCATATTACAAGGCCCCAAGCTATAATCATGTCATGCAGCACAGGTCAGACATATTTCATGCTACCACCATCAGAGGGGGTCAAGGAAATCTGTGAAATTAGATTCATTTTATGTCTTGGAAATTATCTTAATTATCTTAAAAAGTGTCAGATGAAAAAGAAGAAATTATGAAATCTAATATGTTTATTCAAGTATATTCTATAACACTTGTCCAGTAAGATTTCTGGTAAACTTATTAGCTCTTCTGAAATATTTCTCTATATTTAACTGGCCAATATAATTTAGAATGTATCATTTTGAAAATTATTTTTGAGAAAATTCTTCTATCCTGATGCTGGGGTCAGTATGTGCTTCAAAAACATTGGTACCCATCTACTAAACTACGCAGAATCAGATCACAGATGGTAAATATGAGTTAACTGCATATCCATGTCTGGCATGTCTCCGTGTCTGAGGGTGACTATGAACACTTCCACATGCAACTTCTGAAGCTGAATCTGATATCATGCAATAGCTATTACAGAAGATCTGTGTGCTTATGATCGATTTCTATTTACATGTATTTGTAGTTCAATGACGCTCTCAGTAGCTCAAACTATACAGGATGTCCCAGGAGGAAAGGATAATATTCTGGAAGGTCATAGTATTGGTCATTCTAAGCAGAAATGTGTATGTGTACATGTGTCCTATTCTGAACTGTTTCCGAGATAGAGCTATTTCACTGTGCAGTTCCAAAATTGTTGATAAGAAAGAGATATTACATACTGTTTCTAATACCAGTATTTATTGTCCAAGTGACAAAGTTGGTACAGTTTACCTAGTATAATTTTCGAAAATTCCACCGTCAACATCAATACACTTTCCACCTCGTGTGAGGACATGGCGTGTTGCTCATCTGTACAGTGTACAGTGTACTGTACAGTGAAATAGCTCTATCTCGGTAACTGTTTGGAATAGGACATGTGTACATACACACTTTCTTTTGCTTAGAATGGCCGATATTGTGACCTCCCTGAGTACTAACCTTTCCTCCTGGAACTTTTTGTATAGTATTAAAAGATTACATGACAGTGAGTAATGAATCAGAAAAATGTTAAAGGAAGTGGTTGTGACCTACTTTAAGGTACTATCCCACCAATTATCTGCAGGGACTAATAGAAAACAACATGATAAACCACAATCAGAACAGTCAATGTCCCAGTCAAGATTCGAACCAATAAGTACCCGAATAAAATCATAGAACATTATCACTAAATAACGTTTCATTGTCTGATTATATGCCATTATGAAGTGGTCAGTTCATGCTATGATTGACTAACAGCTTTCTGAGTCCTCATAATGCTTTCTGCTTCCTTTGTTATTCAGAATGCATTGGTTCGTATGCTCACAGTTACTTACACTGCTCGACATGTTCAGGAGGTGTAACAGAACGCTTGCTCAACCATTTCCAGTTGGGATTTCCTGTTCTCACCAGAAAATGACGAAATTCTGCTTCTGGTGAAGGAAACTCATGTTCTGAATCATAATGGTATTTGCAATATATCCTGCAAACATACGAGTAGACGTAGAGGGTTAAACTATAACTGACATATTACAGAAAGTTGCTTTAGAGTTAGAGTAAGATTTGGTGGTGGGGGGGATTTTATGACACTGTCAGTAGCTATACTTAGCAGCACTGACTACTATGACCCTTGATGAATGAAAAACTGGTAATAATTTGGAAGGAAGCAGTCATGGCCTAATCAAGATATTATCCTAGCATTTATCTGTAGGGTCTGAGAAGGATCATGAAAAGCTTCAATTAGGATAGCTTATGTCCCAACCTAGATTTGAACTAAGTATCTCCTAAATGCAAGTCCTGGTAGAACAACCTTCCCAGTTTAAGGAAGCTATATTTCTTAGCCACCGTACACATTAAAAAGCAAAACATTTGAATCAAGGTTAATTAAAAATTTGTGTTAGAGAAACACAAACACTGGACTACTGAAGCTGGTGAAACTAATTCTGTAGATATGGAGGTATGTATTGATGGAAACAGGTTACTGGTCAAACATCTCTCATATCACAACAGGGGTGCATCTAGAAATTAAAAAACAAACAAACATTTTGAGTCTTCAGTTCATCTGTTTTATTTTTCTAACATGTATAATGATCATAAAATATTACCCCATAAAAACCCAGAATGAATTTCTGGACACTGAATCTGAAAATCTGACATATTGTGGCATATACAATCAAAGCAAGAATTACGGAGTCAGAACAGCCAGTCATTACTAGGCAGTGGCCCATAAACAACAGAGGTATGGTATTTTCTGCGCAGTCCATGCTGATGGCTGCACATGCAACAGTGGAATACATCATACCATTGTTAAGCAATAATTGCATTGCAACAGAGGAACAGTGCTTTCTACATGGTCCCGGTTGAGATGTTGTATACAGGAAAATTTAGGGAATATTGATTCTCTCATAGACATGTGCGTCTTTCAAAATGGGGATTCCTCTTTGATGAAGGAAATGTTGGTCTTTTTATGTAGGCACTACCTTTGTTGCACCATAGTTATATACTTGTGCTGATATTATGGTGCAACAAACATAGCACCTACATAGAAAGACCAGCCCCTCCTTAATCAAAGTGGAGGCCCCATTTTGAAACACACACATGTCTAGGAGAAATTCAATATCTTGATACTGGATCTTGAGGAGATTGGAGCCAGGAATAGCTGTGCTGGCAAAGGGCAACAGCAATATAATGGACCAACCGCAGTTAGTTATTTACAGAATTGTTACAGTTCAGTTTTTATGAGCCGTTGCTATGAGAAGCTAGTAGCTGAGGCTGGGGACAGTTTGGGAACCCAGAGGAAGGGAAATGTCTGCCACTGGAATCCACTACCAACAACAGCAGTAAATATGTGACTGCGGATATTACGTAGTTTGTATGTATTAGTGAACGGTAAAGTGTATTCACGTACTATTTCAATAAATCCAGTAATCAATCAAAAACATTTCTGTATTCACACTCCATACACATGACATTTAAACCTTTTAAAATGTGTTTCTAAACCCTCTTTTGTAACTGTTGTATTTAAATAAGACTGAAGTAATTATGCTTCTATGATGATGTTCACATTTTATTTATTTTGTCATCCAATTGCAGTTCAAAAGTTAAAACCAACTTTACCTTACAATTTTCCATAGCACTGTTCCAGAAATTTTGCAGTAACTTGAATGGAAGGGTGTAAAGACTTAGTTTGTTGTGTACTTTTCTAATTATATGAAATTATTTATAATTTAACGAGTGAACAGCTTTTCCATTTATACATTAATAATCTATTACTTTTAGCCTGAAAATCATAATAAAATTCACAACCTCCTAAGATTCTTTTTTGAAGACCTAGGGCAAAAGGAAACAAAAGTTTTGGAATCACTGCTCAAAAGCATACACTTACCAGTCAGGGTGAATTCTCCAATTGTCTCCTTGGAAGAATTGTGATACATTAACCCCTGAAAACCAGTGAAGCATACCTGTATTAAACAATTTAAGAGTGTCAGATGTATCCTGCAGAGAAAATATAATAGTATTTGGCAAAGAGTATGAACTGCAAAGCTCATCATTATGAAATTATTCTCCAGCCTCCTGTTACTTCATCCCTCTTAGGTCCAAATGTTCTCCTCAACACTTTCTTCAAACACTATCGGTCTATGTAAAATTTGAGGTTTTCACGGTGGTGACTATGAAGAAAGCAATCTTCTTGGATGTGGCGCCATGTAGATATTGTGTTAACCGATGTTTCAGACGAACGTATCACCTCCATCTTCAGGGTAGAAGAAGAAATCTGCGAGTGAACCAGCATGAGCAGGTGAAACATTCTGTTGCACCTGCTCGCCCTGGTTCGCTACATGTTGTCATTAAATATTAAGTTACTTACCTTCTGCATATTGCCGGCGAATCTCTAGTTGGGCATTCACAGACACTAAGCCATAGTGGTCAGGCAGTGCAACAACCAGTGTGAATGGAGTGTTATCAATGCCAGTGTAATAGTAATGGCGTTTTGTATATGAGGCACGTTTCTGAAATTCACCAAATGACCATTATTGGAGCTACATTATAATACACATCTATGAAGGTTATGCTATTGCTGGATATTACCTTGCTTTAAGTGAAGACTTGGACTTAGTCTGAACTAAGCCTCCATAGTCTAGGGGTAACGTTCCCACCTCATGACTCAAGGTATGCGGGTTCAAACCCGGCAGAGGTTGTGGAATTTTTAAGGGCAGAAAAATTCAGGGAACAAGTCCTCCGGGAGGGACTTTAAGCCGTGGGTCCCATGTCGTAGATTTATGGCACTTAAAAGATCCTCATGTCTCTAGGAGACCTCTGAGCAAAATTAGGTAAAAAGTTTCCTGCCCAAGTGGTTTCCAATGCCTCCAGTAGATGGGGAGGTTATCGGGTACCGTCNATCTTATGTTAAATATGAATATTCCTTTATGCCCTCAAAAAGCAGTGGTTAGTTGTGGCTCACTGATACAGATCAAGCAACTTCAGTTATTACCTGGCTCCATTAGCAGAATATATTGCTCATAAATAAATATACAGGAAGTTCAACAGAAAACCAATCAAGGGCAGTTCCCAATGTTCTGTCTTACAAGATTTTCACCCTGGTAAATACAAGGATTAGTGCAAAGTGGTGCCATATATTCTGGTAGAAAATTATTGACATTTTGGAAGAACCTGATACCTCCATCTTCAGGATAGCAGAATTTGATGATGTGTCTTATCTCTTGAAAGATCCACTGTTGCTCAGAGCGCTAAAGTAAAGTGAACAAGGTTAGTTCTTTGCCCAGAAGGCATTGACTTTAATCGGTGCAGATGCTTACCATATCATCAAAATGGTACTTGACATCCAGAGTGGTTGCCCCAGTACTCTGATTAATAACGTCACTTCGGAACTGAAAGGAAAGGCATACTTATAATAAAGCTCAAACTCTGTGGCATCCTCTAGCTATATATAAATGAACTACAAAAAATAATTGGAGTTTGGTAATGCATTTAGTATCCTGTCTGTCTTTCTGTCTATGGCTCAACAGTCTTTTGTTGGACCTTGGCTGCCTTTTCACTTTACTAATCACACACACGGTCGGTAGGACTCTTTGGATGGGGGATCAGCCTGTCGCAAGGCCACTATCTATACACAGAACAACATGAACACATAATAAATGTACACAGACATCCATGTCTTGAATGGGATTCGAACCTACAATCCCAGCATCTGAGTGAGTGAAGACAGTTCATACCTTAGACCATGCAGCCACTGTTATCGGCAGTATTCTAACTAGGAGGAAAAAAATCACTGTTCATCTCATCCCAACTTTCTTGGTTAAAGATAAAATTAACCCCACATGTTTGCACCACTCCACAGTGGTGTCTAGGGGTCAAACACTCACATACATTTGATTTGTTTCATTCTGGTCCATCACACTAACAATATTATAAAAGATAAAACAATTCCATCCAGTGTGACTGTTGAAGTTCTTATTACTTCAATTCTTAACACCCTTACATGTTTCGGCCCCTACAGACCATCATCAGAGGGATATCGATACTCTTTGGAAACCACTATTACAATGGGTGTTCTGAATGTTAAAATATGTACACATATAGAGTTTGTAATGCACAATACTTGTTATATACAAAATCCAAAGTTTTCACAACTACAGTGGTTGTCTTGGTGTATTAAAGTTTTTTAAAACTTTTGTTATTTAAGTTAAAATTTCTAAACCGAATGGTTCGTGTTCCTTCTCTTATCACCTTTCTTGATGTGGTCCCCATCAACACCAAGACACCAAGGTGTGGCAAACTTATGGTTTAAATCATATTTGGCTTACTGGAAGCAAGTTGTTGAAATAAGTTGTGATGGCAAATATATACATCGGCTCCAAGAGAAATTAAATATGGAGTACCACAGGGTTCAGTGCTTGGACAATTATTATTTTTTTATACATAAATGATCTGCCTTTGAATATCAAAGAGGCGAGGATAGTTTTGTTTGCAGATGATATAAATATTTTGGTAACAGCTGAAAAGGGACACATCCTGCAGCAAAAGATAAATAAGGTAATGAATGAATTATATGGATGGTTAAATGCAAATAATCTTATACTGAATACTGAGAAAACAACAGCAATGGCATTTCATAATAGACAAGAAAGAAATTTGATGAAACCTCAAATCAAATTTGGCAAAATGGTGATCTGTAAATGTGAAACAAAATTTCTAGGTATACATATTGGCGAGCATATGAAGTGGAAAGCACATATGATATTCTTAAGCTCAAAACTTGATAAAGTCTGTTACATGATAAAATCCCTTAGGGATGTAACAAGCCGACAGGTTATAAGGAGTATTTACTTCGCTCACTTCCATGCTTATTTGAAGTATGGTTTAATTTTCTGGGGTAGCAACCCAAAAAGTAAAATTATATTTAAATTCCAGAAACGAATTGTTAGAATAATTAGTGGTGTGAGTAGATTAGCATCATGTAGACAACTTTTTAAGGATTTAAACTTACTTCCACTACCTTGTATGTATATATTTGGAATAGTATGCCATGTTAAACTACGTTAGAAAAGTTAGAACAAAATAACGTAGTTCATGATCACAGTACACACCAGAAGTTAAATCTCCATGCTTAGTTTTGCAGAAAAAATACCTATAAGAAAGGAGTACTGAACATGGGAATAAAATTATACAATAAAATACCAAATAAAATTAGGGAGATAGAAAAAATGAGACAGTTTAAAAAAGGTAATGAGGTCATATCTGGTACAACACATGTTTTATTCTGTAGAGGAATATGTGTTAGATTAAAGATGGTATGTTTGTGAAAGGGGGGTATTTATTTTTAATTATAGAAATTGAACTATTGTATGTTTAATGTGTATGGAACGTTTTCCTATGACAATGATTTGACGAGGAAGGAAGAATGGATTGATTGATGTGAAATGGATTGAACTGGTTACTCTGTTGGGGAATTTAAGTTGTCTTAAATTTTTAATATAGTTTTATATGGTATGTTGGACAAGTACACAATTTGTGTATGTAGTTAAATATTATAGTATTGTTGACTTTTATACAAATAATTTGACTTATTCTGTATCTGGAGGCTGTATTGCAAAATGTGGATTTCTGGAACCAATAAAAATATGAATATGTATAGGTATGTATATACATACTCTGAATATGGCAAGAGGTGGGAGTGAGTAATTACCCCACAATTATGTTGCAGAATTTCAACTACTGGGAATCAAACCCTGGACATCTAGCCATAGCTACTTACATAATCTGGCTCATCCTTTTCCTATTAATTATTTAAATGCTCCCACTGCTAATAATTAGTAAATTAATTAAATGATCGTTGGCAGCATTTTATGCATGAAGAGGCTAAAAACTTACTTCACGCAGTTTTGGATTGAAATCCCTGGCTTCTCTGCGGTCATTCACTAGTTCAACCTCTGCCATGTCCACGCTGTTGTAACTGGGTTTGAGAATACCCTGGAACTGAAAACAGTATGAAAGTATTACATTTACTACAATCTTAACTATTCAAGTAATCTTTGTGCATCACTTAAAATTACAAAAGCTTAACATTAATATCATAAACAAACAGTGAACAGTGAGCAATAAATTGAAAAGGCTGTGGAAGTAAGTGTAGCCTAATTTCCTATATTATTCCAACATGTACCTTGATGAACTGAAGAAAACCACAAGAATCTCGGTCAGGAGAGACGGTCTCTGGGCTGAGATTTCAAACTGGGACCTCTGAACTGGACCACTCAACTATGACATTTGTTAAATACTGTAACACTTACATACCACTTAGCTGTAGGATGTACTCACCACTGGGCGGAGGTCAGGATGTGTCAGTATGTAACCATTGTTTGTGATTACAAAGGCATATCCATTTACTCCCAACTGAAAAATAAAATATATTCTTATTAACTGCATATTTTACTAATAATTAAATTTGTAATTTCACTACATAACTCCTTCCTGGTAAACTTATTAGAAAATTGTATGTGTGCAGGTTTGAACACACTTGTGTATGTTCTCTGGTTCAGAAACTAATTTATTTTCATGGAAAATAGTGTGAACAATATAATATACGATTATGGGCACTGCAGGATATTGGGGGGGGGGTCAGGTTTCCAAATTGATGCAGCCAGAAAATTTGTTTCAGACTTGTGTCCGAGCTGTTTATGGCTATTTTTACTGACTGCCCCAGAGTATTCAGGACTGAAGAATATTTTCTTTTAAATGGTTTAACTAATATTTGGTATATTTCTTTCCTTCCTTCAAATTTGATTTTCTTTTCTTCCAAAAATCGGGGGAGGGGCAGATGTCTGTTTTGCCCAGCTCCTGTTCACTGGTACCAATATACAGAAAGAAATTTCATTGTTTTACATCTTAAAAATTATCTAAATGATGCACATGTTTTAAAGACTGATAATAATATAAAACGATAATCTCCTATACTGAATGTTGACAATGTTGTTGGACGGTCTCACGATTAAAACTAACTTACTTACTCATGGAGCTGAGCCCTTCTGGAGGAGCCGCCAATTCTGCAGCTACTCAAGAATTTCCCATCATTTTATGGAACCCGAAGATTCATTACCATGTTCACAAAAGCCCTCCACTGGTCCCTATCCTGAGCCAGATCAATCCAATCCATACCATCCCATCCCATCCTATCTCTCTAAGATCAATTTTAATATTGTCCACCCACCTACGCCTTGGTCTTCCAAGTGGTCTCTTTCCTTCTGGCTCTCTCACCAATATCCTATCCACAATTATAACTACAAAGATTATTACCATCATAGATGTGACAGAATGTAGATAGCTACTTATCTACACACTACCATATCCTAGCAGACTTTAATCTCCAGTGTTAATGGAGGTCGTTGTCATCTGTGATGTGGGACCATGTATACTTGTAGATTCCTTCAATATGCTGGTAATAATCTATAAGACAACATGGTGGCACATCCAAGAAGAAAACAGTTTTCATAGTCACTGCCATGAGAATCTTAAATCTCACGTTCAGTTTTCACATGGCCCCTGTGATCAGTCATATAAATGAACTGGATGAGTAGTCTCAGTGACCTCATATTTCCCATAAATGCATGGAAAGTTATACAACATACTTATGTTTAAATTCGCCTGAAAGAACAAGCATATACAGCTCATTAACAACAAGGAATAAACCCTCCAAAAATGAACAGTCAATATATCAAAACTACTCTTACACACCTTATGTGGCACCATCAACTTCTGGATATCCTGTATTGGAACATCTGTGCCTGCCACACCCAACAGATGTGCAATTCTTGTCTGCACCACAAAAAGAAACAGATAAAAAGTAAGTTACTTTGTACTAATGTGCATGATAACTGAAAATGCTGATTGTAACACTCAAAATCACACATCACACTTCTGTCAAACACACAGCCCACAGTACAAGGCAATACTGTGATACATTTCTTCTTAATGTTTCTAGGAGAAATGGATTTATGTAATGGACACCCAAAACATGCTACAAGAGAGTAACTAAAATAAAAAACTGAATAGAAACTTAGTTCCTCAGTATAAATAACCTGATATGTGAAATCTCTGGCTGTGCAATGAAATGTATCTACAATTCACTCAAATTCTACAAACATTTTCTAGGATATCAGCACTTACAACTGAAATATATATTATTTAAGGTACATATGTTTCACTATATATTTTGAAAAGATCTGTCACATTGTTCATATGATAGACTAAATCGGTCACGCTGAAACATGTATTATAAACAATGATCTCATCATTTTAACTGTATTTGAAGTATGTAGAATGCCCGATATGTGCACTATAGGTGTGACAGGGAATATCATTTATTTCAGGGATCATGAGTAAAAATAAGAAAGTAAAGTTGACTCTGTGCTTAATTAAATAGCTACCACCCCTTGGGGACATATGAGGGAATAGAGGTATAGCTCCACTATTCTTGAAACTGGCACTAAGATTCGCTTTGCTACAAATATTAGAAATGGCAAAGTAAATAGATGAATGAATAAAGATATCTCAAGAGGCCAGGTCATTAGAAATGAGATTTTCCATAGCCAAACATTATGTGCTACTTTTTAGAATGAACTTGGTTCATGAAATAAATTCTCTTATTTTTAAATAAACACATATTCCATTATGATTTGTTCCCTTCGAAAAGCGGTATCGCTCCACTCTTCTTCAAGTTTCCAAGAGTAACATATAATTTGAAGATTTAAAACATCAGTTGCTGTCACTACCAATTTACATGAAACAAAATTTAAAGCAATTTCAAAAACAGAATGCATTTTTATTAATTAACCCTAATTTGAACACTGTACATCAGTCACTGGTGGTGCACTGGTCGCTGTGAAGCACAGAGTTGTGGAACAAGTCAACAAAGTAAAAATCCTACCTGTACCAAAGAAAAAAGTGAAAAAATATGCATGGTATTTTAATGATCTAATATAACGTGGAAGGGGATTCGGCACATACTACAGGAACCCACAGAAAGAGGCTAATTTGTATGAGATATCTGTTTACATCATGAAAACTGTAAAAATAAATTATAAATAAGTATTCCATAATTTTGACTGCAATATTTTGGGTAAGAGATTTTTTTTAGTGAGAATGTAACTTTATCCTAAGTCTCTGTAATTCTGTGGTCTCACAGTTTTATGCCTTCTGTCTTGCCTTACCTCTATTTCTGTTTTGAAACAAAATGTGTCAAAGTCATGAGACATGACATATTTAAAATCTGCAAGTTACTAAGTTACTGAGATCATCTATATGTTCCTTACACAAATTCTTCATGAAGTTGAGTAATTAACTGAAGATGAACTAGAATATCTGAATGCTTTTTTTCTATCGTGGTCTTTCAAATTTGTATCCATTTACTTTTTCAAATTTTATTAACATTTATTCAACAAAATAGGTCAATACATATAAAATGTTCTTAAAATAACAGAAAATTATCCCCATTCAAATTAACCTGGACGCTTTCTATAAGAACTGTGCACAAAATTCTTAAAATGACAATCACCTTATTGCTCTGAAGCTAAATTAATTAAAAACAAATGTTCTGATACACCTTGCAAAGAAATAAAATTCGGGCTATCATCCAAAAGATAATCTAAAACAAAAGGCATAGAATGTCAGTATTCTAGCCTAATGATAACAAAGACAGACAAACACACATACATACTTACACAAATACAGAGAATAGTTTATAGTATTATATGCGACATCGGCTGCGAGCATCTAAAGAAATACCCATGCAGGGTTGAAGAATCTAAGCAACAACTACGTAGTGAGAGATTAATTTCCAAAACCTACCAACTCCAAGTAAATATTTTTAAGAACTTTAAAAAAAGAATTAAAAACTCTACTTTTCAAGCCTAGAAGTATGTAAGGAAGTACTGCAGAGGGATTCAGCAGGTTTTTGTAAGAAATAGTTGCAACTCTGTTTTGGCAAGACAAAGGTTAAATTCTAGCTAAAGACTTCAGAGCATAAAAACGCCTATTTCTATAATGCCAAGCATATCCTTTTACTACACAATACTACCTTTTACTGCTGTACGTAGAATGAGCATTCACTTGCCAAAACAAGGTTGATAAATGCTATCAACTACAGGTGTTAATTTTTTGTTTTTATAAATGGTACCTGGCATAAAGTATCATAACACAGCTTTTAAATATTTGTATAATACCTTAAGCTGCAGCTTGTTAATAACATATGTATGTACCAAATAATTTGAGAGTAATAAGTACAGGCGTGTGAGGGAATAAGACCATAATTTGACGTTTCAATTACATTTCCAGAATTTCAAGTGTACAACAATTATGGGCCTTTGAGATATAATTTTTTGCTACCCAGGCATTTAAAAATGTTACAAACATTTTCAGATTAAACTATAAAATTATATTTAAGCATCCTGTTGCATTAATATATGATTTATTTCATATAATATATTTCTGCCTCCAATGCCATTTATTAGTAGTCACCCTTCTTTCTCACATGTTTTGGCCTAAGTATAGGTAAAGTTGTCATATATGGTAGTATTAATCAAAACCAAAAATATCGTATATTCTGTTTTTTTTTTTGTTTGGTTTTTTTCCCCCTACTTTATTTGGCTTCTACTAAGCAGGTTCTGTATTTACTACTATTCTTTTAAACCCCTAGATGTGTAAAGCAGTGCCCTAGTAATCCTTCATAACAACCACTTCTATTGGGGTATAGAGTGCCAAAAGTGAGTTGCCCAGTAAGACGGTATTTGGGGACCAAAATTGTGATAGTACATGATACATATTCAGAACTTAGAAATTTATAAGAAATTGTTTGCCTTTATTTCAAGTTTATATCTTATCTGCACTGAGGGCTGCAACAGATGGGATTATGGTAATAAACAGCATGACTGTCAGTGATGAAACAGACTATGCCCAGTGTATCTAACATGGGATTTGAACCCACTAATCCAACATGCATCTGGTCCAAGACCACCTTACTTAATTTTTCTTAATTAGCTTAGGTGGAGTTCAACTGGGTCCACTCAGCATGGCGGCCACTGATTGGCTTATTCTAGCCTGCCTCTTGTGATTATGATAGTGAATTTGGTGGAATGAAGATTGGCAGGGGAAACCGAAGTACTCGGAGAGAACACGCCCCAGTGCCACTTTGTCCACCACAAATCCCACTTGACCAGACCCGGGATCGAACAGGGGCCGTTGTGGTGGGAAGCCAGCGACTAACTGCTTGAGCTATGGTGCGGCCAAGACCACCTTATTTACTCACATACCCCTTACATCTAAGGTCCTTTCAGAACTTTGGCCTCCTTTGCAACAGATGCCCATTCTTCTGGATTATTTGCCGTTGTCTCCATCTCTTCATTTATGGCTCTCATAAATCATCTCAAGACCATCTGTTCATCTTAAACCCCACAGATGCCAGATCAGTTCCAGAATATGTGCATTCAACTTTTAATTGCACCACATGATAACATGGAAAGTTCACAGAAGTGGTGAACATTATACATTTTCTTATATTTCCAGCAGATGGCTCTTCAGTCTGTTATGACTCATCTTTAACTTTATAAATTATTAAATTGTTCTGCCTTGGTCCAGGTACTGTTATAAAAATAAAATAATTACACATCTGTACAAAGGAGGTATCAGATGGTACCACTACGTAAAAACACTTACATGAATACAGTGAAATTTGGGAGTTGGTAATGTGTTGGAAACGAAGCTTCTCAACTGATTCTAGATTTGGTTGTACTAAAATAATTATATACTCAATATCTCACTCAACATGGAGGTAAATGTAACTAAATATTCACTTGAAAAAATTGCAAATAAACTTATTTCAAACAATCTTACTCATGACATAAAGTAATAGGGTTCCAGAGTGAATAGTGGGGGGATCCAGCTTATTCTTCCGCTATAATTTCGGTATGTATATATAAATAACCTTCAACACTCACTACCAAGATGTCTTATCATAAGGTTCCTCCAAGGGAATACACTGGAATGCATATTTTATACCTCCTCTAACTTCCCACTGAATTTATTAAGCATTCCACAAGTGTCATTTCTTTCCTTTTGATGTTTGTCCTTTTATGTTGGAAGTCTATTCAATGTTAGTAAATATGCTGAAGTTCATTTCATGTAACTACAGAGATCCTGAATATTCTTCATGGTGAAAAGATCATAAAATTAAATTTCATAATTTTCATAGAAAGGTCTGATCAAACTGGCTAAAACAGTAATATTACTGACTTGTTTTTATGAGAGACACTTACTGATATCTCAGCGGCCTCCGTAGTCTAGAGGTACCATTACCACCTCATGACTCGTAGTACGCGGGTTCAAACCCGGCGGAGGTCGTGGAATTTTTAAGGGCGGAAAAATTCAGGGAACAAGTCCTCCAGGAGGGACTTTAAGCCGTGGGTCCCGTGTTGTAGCTTTACGGCTCATAAAAGAACCTCATATCTCCTAAGGAGGTCACTGAGCCAAATTCAAGGACATTGCCCACCCAACAGTAGTCTCTAACGCCTCTGATAGATGGGGGAAGCATTATAGATACCGCCAAGCCAGTAGAGGCCGAACTCGCTGGCTTGGTCGGAACTGATGGTAAGCACCAGTATCGGTAGGGTATAGAGACTGGTATAATATCATAGAGGGAAGCACAATAGATCAAACTGGTCGCGGTGCATGGGAAAACCCACCCTCTCTAAATAACTAACTAACTACTGATATCTCTCATGTTTTTTCTCAGTCCTTTCAGGCAGTTCTTATGATAGTACCTTAAATTAGGCCAAGACCTCTTCTTTCCACATTCTTTGAAATTTGTTATTCGCTATCGTCCAAACATTCAGTGCTACAAGGTATGAGATACTTATGGAATCATTAAATGAACTAAAAATTCACAGGAGGAAATAAGTGAGGATAGTAACTTTCTTTGTTAATAACCTGAAAGAGTAACAAATTCTGCAAATCTACTCAAGGAAGTAACAGTTAAATTTTGCGTATTATATCACTGAATGCTGCTGGATTCCTCTACATTCATGAACTAACCTCTTACTTTATCATGTATACTGTAAACTATATATACTAATGTATTTAAAACAATGATTTCTACAACATATTACAGCACAATATGTGTGTATATATATGTGTGAGGTTCTGATCCATTCACTGACCCACGACTAGTGATTGCAATCTGATGATAATGATAATGAAAACAAGGTTCTAATTTTCTAATTGACTGAGACTGTCTGTTACCTCCTCAGCTACCTACAATAATAGTAATAACTATTACCACTTAATAAAGTTTCTACATAAAGACAACTGAGAGTTAACTGATTCAGTTCTGTCTACCTCTCTTATTTTTTCAACCCAAATCGCCTCATTTATGAGAATCCATTCAGTGATGTTCTGCAGGAAGGAAAATGAACATGGCAATAATATCACCGAGCTGAAGAGAACAACATTTGTAATTGTAATGAGAAAAATACACTGGAGACAACACAAATATAACAAAAATAACGAACACAACAAAAAGCAAGAGAATTCAAATGCTGTTCATTAGCTTATCAGTTCTGTACTCCATTTTTTTTTTCAGTGTCTGCTTTACATTTTGAAACATTAATAAGCAGTGTGTGCATGGAGGGTCTTCATTTTATAACTGTACCATTTATAAATTATTTTCAATTACATTTCAGTATATCTCTATTTTCTTCCCGTCTTCACAGGTCAGAGAAAAATGTCTCATATTAATATCCTTATTTAGCCCATGAGAAGTGTTACTAACTGCTTAACAAAGAATAGGAATGATGCTTGTCATTGTACTCGAAAGAGGGTTTATTGTAATGTTTGGAGTAGACGAAGTTATTCATGGAAGTAGAACAAAATCTCAGAAAAGAGACGGATGTCCATAAAGCATGTGGCAGAATGGCATGAAACGTGTAAATTGAGAATATAGTGATGCCAACATATCCACATAATTATATTTTTCGTTCTATAGAGAACAAAATTTATACTAAATAATATTTAAAATGTAGCTTTGAATGTGGTCATCTTACTTGCAAATCTGCCTATATAACCTAATCAATCCCTTTCCATATACACTTCAACCTGAAGGTGGAGGTAGATTATTCCTCAGAAACATCAGTGTCTGCCTGTAAGACTACACGGCACCACAACTCAGAAGACCGTAATTTAATTTAAAACCTATTTTGCATTTTGAAGTAAATACACAATACTTGTCAATTACCAACAACTGGTTTTAAGATGTTTAGGAAAAGGATCACTGTTTATTCTGATAATAAAATGAAGCTGATAACTTGGTCTGTTGAGAAAATTCTGAATTTTAGAATACAAGATTCACATAGTCACAGCATTCGGGCCCAGCAAGTAAAATCCCAATATGGGAGTATGGCAAGAGAAGACCCCAATCTTCTGCTTCAGAGTCATGCACTCACAGATTTTAAAACCATGATCAACTGAGTAATCATGGATTTGGAGGAAGAAGTAAAAGTTTTTTTTTTCCTTTAGTCTACATGCATCAATTTTTGTCCTGGATATCATGAAGGAATATCATTCAGAATTGTGAAATTTAGACAATTAGAAATCTGTTTTACAATACAAGATATATGCATGTCATATTTAAACGATAATTTGGAGAACAGCTGTGAAACCAGGTGATTATGAAAAAAGATCTATGTTAAGTTCAAAATGTAAAACAAGAAATTAAACTTTAATGTTAATATTATTGATAATAAAATAATACTATTAACTTAAATTAATATCTCTTCTATTGTAGTAATTATTTAATGGCATGAAACCCACGCAATGAAATATGATATGAAGTTACATTTGAATATATCACAAGTAATATAACATTCATACTCATACCGCATTCTCCCTCTGGTCAAACACGGGCATTGAGACGGAGGTCATGAGCTGGTATTTCTGGTAATCCTCACTGTCTTCATCATTGTCCTGTGCCTATATTCAAGCAGAACACAGTATTGCAGTTTCAAGTTATAAATAAAAAGTCCTGTGTGTCTGACATCTGCTTTAAACTGTGAACTGAGAAAAACAACAAACATGATCACCAAGACTTAAGACCTAAACTCCAATTATGGGACAAAGTCACATCAATCACAAATGAGAAAAAACCATTAACTACGATGAATGTGCTAGTAAGAATGAAATATGATAATTTTAAACATGTTTACAGGTTATTAAACTGGCTAATTTCTTTTTATTGAGGTCTAGAATTTCACGAAGGTAAAGTTAAATTTTTCCCTGTGCTTAACTAATTAAGCACTATTACCATGAAAGCATTTGGGGGAGTAGTTGTATAAATCTATGTTTTCTTGACCTGAGCACTAGTTGGAGGTGAGTAGTTAGTTTCACTCCCCTACCGCTTTACCCCTGAGGAAAGAGCACCTAGTGCCCATTGGACAGGAGGCTGGTGAGCACCCAAATTCCATGAAGATGGTACGTTAATACAATCATTGACTTTTGGACTTTATCCAGCTGAGTAGGTTTCTTACCTGAGAATGGAGACATGTCCATAGGAGGGTGGATACTGTCCAAAAGTCAGTAATTGTATTCTCTGCACTGATTAAGGTCAGATATTTTCATTCTTTCACTTATATCTGAGGTTGTCATAGCAATGACTATGAAGATTACTGTCTTGTAAATACTGAGTCAAGTTTCAGAAGGACAACCCTTTAAAGGGCCAGCATTCTTTACTCTGTTATCCTTATTCTTATTGGTTCACTAAGGGCCCTGGTATTAACAGTCCCTCTCCCTACATCCATACCATTATATTTGATTTGTTCCATATCCAATGGTGTCTGCCTGTATCTGGATTTATGGAACATAAATAAATTGAACAATTGAACTTTTTCCATGCTTAGCTTACTCTTCCACACTGAAGATGGAGGCAGCACATTCCTCTGAAATATCATGAAATATCAATCAGACTAACCACCCCAGAAGACAGTAGTCTTTAATTTTGTCAGTCTTGAATATATTATTGTGGAATTTATTCCTGTTCTCAAATGAAATGTTACTGTTACAGCGACAAAATATTTATGATATCCACATCTCCAAATTTTATTTTTAATTTATTGAATACATGCAGTAAACTCCTAATTACCCAGAATGTATGGGGAATGGAGTGTACTGTTTTCCTTGTATTTGGTAGAAGTGTTGTGTCTTTTATGTGGTGGCTGTGAAACTGAGACGTAACAAAACAAAGAATTTCCCACACACACACTATAACGCTAAAATATAATATTTCTACAAAACATAAAATTTCACAGTAGTCTGACAAAGGATTAATGAGGGGAATCCCTGATAGAAGAATGAACTGACAGAAGAACAGACAATTGTGCTTATAAGGCATTTGTTTTACATAATAAAATTAAGATTTAACAGTGCCGTATACACCAGAATTGCACAAAATTTGAGACCCAATTTGACAGATGGGTGAATTCAATTACCACATTTACAGGTCCATCAATAGTGTGTTATGTCCATACATCTTCGAGGGTTATCTCAGAGGAATGCTACCATCATGCTTACCCTTCTTATCTTCTGCACATATCTTCGGTCGTGTTCTTCGTTGCTTATGTGCTTGCTACGAAACCTGTCCCTGTAATATATTTCATATATTTCTTTCTGTTCTGAACACTCCCTCTTTTCCCACAGCCAATCCGTCATTTTTGGATCCTGCAACAACAAATTGTACAGCCAAGTTATCTATTTTATATTTTGCAAAGTAATTTTGCATTCAAAGAATTATTTTCCTGATTTATTTAGAAAAAGGAGTGTGTGTTATCATCAACACAGATTTCAGTCTACTTTCCTTCTACAGAACGCAAACTTATGAAACATATCAACTTCACACTTCATGTTATCATGTTTAACCAACTGATAATCATAATTTAATTTTTCAGAAATCTGGTGATGATGTACTACTCTTGCATCAGTGACTGAGGTTAGCCCTTGACTGAGAACCTAACCTAGCAGGTGCCTGAAATTCTGCCTTCTGTTCAGAGAATGAACACAGTACAGAAACCCAGAAATAATAATAATAATCTTACTCACTGTTATATCAGCGTAAACAGGTGTCCAGTTAATAGGATGTTCTGTCTTCGTTAACACAAGTGGACGGGCCATGACAGGTATATAGTGCAGCACTTGCTCCCTCACTTCAGCTAACGTACTTAACGGTACATAGTATCCTGCAACAAAGCATGATTTTTTTTTTTCATTAAAGAAGGAAACCTATTTTCTTACACTTCTATAAAGTGACATTTTAGGAAATCACATTTATTGCTTTGTAATACAAGAGAAAATGTCAATCAAAGGATAAGGAAACAATTACTTACTTTTCCAGTTTTATGAAAAATGTTTCACCTAATACCAGTGGAATGAAATTTTGCCTTCGTTAAACAAGAGAAAATATCAATGTAATTGATAGTGAATTAAATAATTACTTTCGAATTTTCTGGGAATGTTTCATTTCTAACCAACAGAATAGAATCTGGACTTTGTTACACAAGAGAAAATGTCATACAGTAAATATAAAAAGTGTGGTAGTTCAGTACTATTCAAATTTTGTGGAAAATGTTTCACATTCAGCCAATGTTTCTCCATTAAATGTTTCATAAGTTAGTGTAAAAAATTAAGGGCCGTGCCATAGCTCAAGCAGTTAGTTGCTGGCTTCCCACCGCGGCAGCCCGGGTTCAATCCCGGGTCTGGTCAAGTGGGATTTGTGGTGGACAAAGTAGCGCTGGCGCAGGTTTTCTAGGAGTACTTTGGTTTCCCCTGCCAATTATCATTCCACCAATTCATCCACAATCACCCTCACCTATCATGTGGGGCTGGTACAATAGGCCAGAAGTGGACGCAGTACAAGGGACTTAGTCCCACCCCACTAGCAATAAAAAAATGAGTGTAAAATTTAATCTTACGAAAACAAGAGATGAACGGTCAAAAACTGACTTCCTTGTGTACACATGCATGATCAATTTAAAGAACAGCACTGGGAAATTCTCTGTTTTCAGACTTGACTTTGCTGTAGAACCATTTGAACTGTGCCATTCCTCTTCACTACTAGGCATAAAATCAGTCATGAACATAATGCAAATCATGAAATTTTTCATCTTAGTCAGGAACAGACATGCAATTCTTTGATATAGCCATGCCAAACATCGGATTTTCATAAAAGTGACCATAATTATTATCGATATTCCTCATCTTTTAACTTAATACTGAAGAGATTACTGAGTTACTAAGGTTTCCTTAGTGGTGAAGGCTTCATACTATGGCCTTCTGAGTTAAAACACCTTCCCACCAGACCATATGCTGCCACAACTGAGGCCAAAGTATGGTATTATTAACGTACTTTACTGGTCTCCAGCCTAGAAAATTTACTAAACGATACAGTCTCATAATACCAATCACAGTCTGCAGCAAAAGCCACTACAAGTAATTCTTTGAATCTGAAGCAAATGTACACTTGCAATGATCACCATCTGACGCATGTTTACAGATATTAATAGTTTCAGCAACAATTTGCAAAAATTAATAACACCATAAAGTAGCAGAGCAAAAAACCAACAAATCCTCTAATATGTTAAAGGTTACAGATTATGCTCTACTGAGCATCATATCATCAAGGTGAGCTTGAGCCAGGGAAGCTGAACATTAGACGTAGGTAAACTCAGGATGATGATGATGATGATCCTGAATTGCAAGTTTCATACTCCATCGCTCACATGACGAGAAACTGGGCAAGAATTGTCCATGATGCCATGAAGAGAAATGACCATACACCCAAGCGGGAAACACTTGCCATCCAATCCACTACCCATCACTTCAGTGACTGAGCTATCACAACTTACCCCGATTTGCACAAGCCATCCATTTGACTTCTCGGACATCAGTTACTTCTCGGCCAATAAGATACGTGAAGACACGAACTGGCATTTCATCACTATTTTTCCAATTGTATTCTTCAAAAATGTCCTTGTAGTTGTAGGGGACTCCATCAGTGATAAGCATGATTGCCTGGTTACAGCAAGCTCCCTGCTTTGTTTCTCTGTACTGTTAGCCAACAAAAAAGGACAACTATTAAATCTATTAAACCAAATCTGGCTTCTAGCAAAAGATAATCTGTGAAAGTTACTGTGTTTTGGGATGTGATGCTATTTAGTTTGATAGACGGCCGTGCAATAGCTCAAGCGGTTAGTCGCTGGCTTCCCACCGCAGTGGGCCATGTTCGAACCCGGGTCTGGTCAAGTAGGATTTGTGGTGGACAAAGTGGCGCTGAGACAGGTTTTCTCCGAGTACTTCGGCTTCCCCTGCCAATCTTCATTCCACCAATTGCTCCACAATCACCCTCACCTATCATCTGGGGCTGGCACAATAGGCCAGAAGTGGCTGCAGTACAAGGGACTTAGTCCCACCCCACTAGCAATTAAAAAAAATTAGTTTCATAGACAAGTATCAAGGTTTGGAGGAACCTGTTGCCTCAATCTTCAGGGTAAGAAAGGTCAATGATGTAGGGAGGTGAGGAGAGAAGCTGGGGCTAAGAGTGAAACCAGTCACAGCACTGTAACTAAATGGAAGCTATGGCCTTCAAAGGGACAGGGAAAAATCGCAGATACAGTAACCTTCACAGTTACTGATATGAAAAGCTCAACTCTTACAACAAGCAACTGAGTTATTTAATTTAAACTGAAATATCTTCTTATACTTTAAATTATTTTTGTAAATTTCATGAAGAGTTCTGCAGTATACATACAATCAAATAATACGTTTTCCCTATTTAACTCTTTCAGTGCTCATAAAATAACATACACCACAAGAGATCTTGCAGTACATATTTCTGTCATACACATGGTAAAAATAAAAAAAATAAATATATTTGCTTACTCACTTATAACCTAATTTCGTATATAATGTAACGTGCAGTGCCATTGTTCTGCAATAATCACAAGAAGGAACATGTGTTGCTTGGTAATGGCTCGGTAGTTCCTGTGTTAAATCCGTTTGCAGAAAAAGACTAGTAGAGACTGCGTTAGACTGAGGACACTGTGTCCACCATAAATCCCTCATTAGTAAATGCTAATGATACAATATACAGAATTGCTTGGTATGATGTCTCTTACCTGTTGCAGTAATTCAAATGCCTTAATAAGAACTGCTGAGAAATTAGCAATTTTGTCAGTGTGCAGATCTTTCATTCCTTGTTTGAATTCTCGGACATTGGCGAGGTTTGCCTGTAACAGATATGAAGAGTTGGCTTTTATGAGGTCTGCCACTGGTCACAAATAATGTTACTTTTATGGTCAACTGCAGGCTGAACTTGAGGTTTAAGCTGTCCTGATGCAAATAACATATTCAGTACCGAGACTAGTGACTGCTGTACTTGTATTCAGGTTTCATGATTTACACCCTTGTCATAGAGTTGCTTAGTTTATTAAAGGAAGTTACATTAGGCTGGACATGTAGTTCAGATAGAGGACAACATTGAAATAACAAATATTATTTGGAATATAATATATTCTATGAAGAGTAGAAGGACTTGAATGTAAAAACTGTAAAGTCAAAATACACCCTATCCCTGACTAATACCAGTTCTACCAACATAAATACAGTTGGAGTTGTACTGAATAACCCTCAAACCATGACCATCTTCAAGCTACTGTACACCCATTTTCTAAGACTATCCTTCTAACAATCCTTTGCTTCAAATGAAACACACTACTTTGCTTAATGGAACCTTTTGATAACCACATGACTGCATGAAATGGAGTCCCACTTAACGATATCTTAACTCGGCTAGAACTTCACAATCACGCAGGATGCGTGGAGCTGAATATTAAATATGAGGGAAAGACCTAGTAAGTGAACTGAACTGTACTGGCTTAAGAATACTGCAGTAGCGGAGGATCAGATACAGTTCAGATAATTGGTGATGATAATCGTAAACTTTCAAGTTCATACAAAGAATAAATATCTTCAAAGGTTAAAGTTTTTCCTGTGCTTAGCTAATTAAGCACTAAGCCAAGAAGACATGGGGGAGTGGATGAATAGATCCGCATATTCTTGACCTCAGCACTAGCTGAAAGTTTGACATCAGCTTCACGGCCCAAACACTTTACTTCCAGGAAAGCGCCCCCAGTACACATTGGATAGGAGGTTGGGTGGGCCCAAGAACAAGTCTGCACCACATGGAGTGTAGAGAATACTTACCCCCACTGGGACTCGAACTCCAACCCTTCAGCCGTCCAGCCCATAGCCAATCTCTGATACTGAATACACTAACTTTACTCTAGAAATGTCTTCAATTAGGAGATTAATTACTGCATGTTTCGAATTAGAATATTTTAGACACACAAGTGCTCATCATTACCTGAACCAGCACATCCTTGAAACATGGCACAACCTCGTCAATCTCTTCCGAGAAGTTAAATATGTTCACAAAGTCGTTGTTGCCAAGTGTATCGAGGATGTTGCTGACCACATGACGAGCAATTTCTTTCCTTATTCCCGTCATGGAACCAGAGTTGTCCACCAGGATAACCATATCTTTTGGGCTTGCGGCTGCCTCAATGTACCACGAGCGTGTCCGACAGTCATACAGATCCACTGAGTCGTTTCTCCATTGCATGGCTGCACGAAATATATGCATTATAATAAATACAACGCACCTTTATTGTTAGAAACCTGAGCTTCAACTCTTACATTCAAAGAAGTTTAGTTGTAACACTAAGCTGTAATATGCCAACACAAAGAAAATCATATATGGCACTGCAATAATATATGTATACAGAGGTTACACCTCACATGCAAACATAAACCATAACAGTTTTACTCAGAATTTGCACTTGTTTTTTAATGTAATAATGCAGGTTTGAAGAAACTGTAAAGTTTTGATTGACCAGACAAGTAAGTCATCTGCCTTCCTAAATGCCATGTGCCTTTTAAAGTAAATACTCAACCATGAATAACATTTTTCATATTTCAATCTGCAATATCACTGTAACTGGATTATCAAGGGTTTACAGTGAATTTTGTAAACGATTGCATCTACACAGCTATAGTTTTCAGAATCTCTGAAACACAACGTACCTGGATACTGCCTCATGAATCCAGAAGAACTACCAAAATACTGCCATGATAATGAAGGGTCATCCTGATAGTTTCTAATGAAAATTTCGTTCAGATTCTCCGACCACTTGATGGCCTTCAGAATATCTGGTGCTGAAACATCATATGGAATAAACAGAATGTAAGATAAGAGATCAAATGATCTTCTTACTCACCTTCTCCTTGTATTTCCTTTTCTTCTAATTTCGTTCACCATTCTGCTCACATACTGGACAGTTATAACTTTTTTTTATTGCTAATGGGGTGGGATTAAGTCCCTTGTACTGTGGCTACTTCTGGCCTATTGTACCAGCCCCAGATGATAGGTGAGGGTGATTGTGGAGCAATTGGTGGAATGAAGATTGGCAGGGGAAACCGAAGTACTCAGAGAAAACCTGCCCCATGGCCACTTTGTCCACCACAAATCCCACTTGACCAGACCCGGGATTGAACCCGGTCTGCTGCGGTGGGAAGCCAGCAACTAACCGCTTGAGCTATGGCGCGGCTCTCAGTTTTAATTGACTCTAGCCTAGTTGGCCATTTCAAGAAAGGTTTTATGAAAAACACTTTTATTTATACAAATGTAATATAATCAAAATATTGTTGGATTTGAGGTTCACTCTGCTTCCTGCTTGCTTCTTGCTATTTCTTGAATGGCTCACTTTTTGACCCTTAATACACATGTTTCTTCAAAACGTTGAAGGAATTCTACCAAACTACACGATGTCAGATCACAGTTAAGATCTCTAGGATCTACAGGATTTGACACCCATTACGATTCTAACAATTTTCTTTTGCAATGTAAATACCTTTTTGCTGTTAGATGAATTATCCCAGAAAATTATCCCATACTTTATTATAGACTGAAAGTAAGAAAAATTAATTGATTTGAGAGTGTCAATGTTGCTGATAAGCAACATAGATCTAACTATATAACATGCTTCACTTAGTTTTGAAACCAACTGATTGATATGAGTTTCCAGTTTAAATGATTGTCAATTTGTAAGCCAAGGAATTCTGTGTTTACTGCCTCTTTTATATATATTTATCATTGTATGTAATATTTAATGGCTATTGGGGTGAGTGTTTTTTGTTGTAAATTTTGTTACATTTTTCATCAAGCTGGACAAATTGGTTGTCATTCTGTGGATTTTTTGAGAATCTAACTGTAGCCATGTTTCAAGCTTTCAAATGATAATATAAATGTAAAAATGTCTATTTTTAACATTCAAAATGGAAAATTATACATATGTTCCACAAAACTTGTATGAGTTTAATTTGAATTCACGCAGCCATTTACTGTTATCATTTTTGTGCCACCCTGTATGTAGTTTAGGCAAGTAGTGCAAGTAATTTGGCAAGAGATGAACCCACTCTTCTGCCACAAGGCAATCACTTATTATCCCATAACCCTACAATGTGAATAATAGGCATAGGTCATGAGTTAGACTAAAATTCTACTCAACAGCGATTCCTCCACAGAGATAACCATACCCATGCCCATTATTCCAACAACTCTGCACCAGCCTACTTACCACTACATAACATATAAGACATAAACTTCTGCCTCTTTTATTATATAACATGCATATAAAAGATCATTCACTGTTCAATATCTGTGGAAGAAACCTACAGAGAGGAGAGTAATCTGTAACAGAGAATAAATTCAAAGATGCTTCCACTCACTGGCCTTAATATCCATTCATCATGGACAAGCAAATGAGTGGACTTATTGAGCCTTGCATGCAAGACATGAGGAATACCTTGGTCATAAACGTTGGTGGGTACATGCACTGCACTGTGGCTCGTGTTGACAGGGATATTGTAGAAATGTTTATTAGGGGTAAGAATCATCTCTTTTCCTCCTTTCTCCAGAGGCTCTCCAGGTGGTCTCAACGTCTTGGTGTTGTAGTACTCATATTCTGTCACGACCTCATCCTGTTGCGATACGGCTGTTGCTTCCGCCGAATCCATAATCCGCTACTCAGTTACAATTAAATAAAGAAAATTAAGTTTATATTCATCGTCCTGTCTACAATCTGGGATTACCCAGTAGATCAGATCTGTCTGAAGCAATGACATGCCATAAATGAGGACAAGGCGAAAATGTATGGCTTGAAGGATTTAAGGACTTCAGATTTCCTTAAAGACGCTTGCTGCAACATTGACAATTTGATCTTTAATAAATTGACCTAGCACAGTATTTCATACACTGCATTCTGCAGCATATTGGAGTTTCAAGAAACGGATAGGGGCTCAAGTCTGTGCCTGTGCTAATAAAATCACTTATTGCCTGCAAATACCAGCATCAGTTCCTAAAATGCACAGTGTTTCTGCTACCTTCAGTGACAGAATCACTGCAAAGAGTATGATGGTGGCTCATAAGACTGAGTGTCTACACTAACACTGGATCGAAATCATAGAGATGTCCTGGTATACTTCACATTCAAAGACTTTTTGTGACGATTGAAGGGAAAGAAAAGTCTGTACAGGATTTAGACGAATAAGAGCCCAGGTCAGCATAGGATCTTATTGATGTAAAAGCCAAGACCTGCACAGGATCTGTTTGGTGTAAACTTCAAGATCTAAATAGGATCTGATTGATGTAAAAACCAAGAACTGCACAAGGCCTGACTGATGTGAGAGCCCAGGTCTGCATAGGATCTGGCTAACATGAAAGCCAAGACCTGTACAGGTCACCATTTTATGCCATATGTCATTATTTTACTGCAATGAAAATTTGCTCACCCAAGAAATTCCAAGTACTAGAGCAAGAGGATGTGGAAGAACTCACCTTCACTGCACTAATTTTCAGGTCTGTCATATTCTTGATGTCATTAGCTATTTCTCTTGCTATTGTGTTACCATCTTTCCGATACACCTGGGCAGTCTTATAGCTCTGTAACAAATACAGAAGCAATATACAGACTGCCCTGGAAGACAGAACTCTTCAATATACAGACTGTTTCCAAATACAGCATGACCATTATGTTTCCAGAAATCTAATATTGTTTATGTGCTATGTGTAGATCATATGAAATGAAGGAAGACACGGGGAAATGTGCTTTTCAAATCCAATAATCTGCAGTAATATCATCACACAGCTGATGAGAATCCGTGTAAGTAAATGGTGAACAGCGGATGGATAAGGCAAATATAACAATGACTGGGTGTGCCATGATGTACATGCATGTATGCATGTCTGTATAGATAGATGGATAATAATACGTGTACATATCGTAGTATCGCATGCATGGAACCTTCTGATATATAATTACAAGGACATGTATATCACTGGAGATACTTAAAACATAAGAAAGCTTAGATGGAATTTCTAAATTCATTCTAATTGTTCCAAATTTGAATCAGGACAATTTTCAGTGGTTAAACAACTTTTAATTACTTCATAGTGGGAGAATACACTATATTTATTACCCTGACAATTCCAGGAATAGTTATGTGACCTTCTGAACGAGAGTGTTGCCTGCACCCAAACTAAAGCATCTTAGTACTAAGTATCTGAATGGTTGAAGTATAAGTACTTAAAAACTGACACGCATCCAAGTACAGTCATCAGTATTTAACACAATAATTTTACAGAAACAAAGAGAGAAGCATTGCCCGATATTTCTATCAGATCTGAACAAAATTATGAGATTCTGTGGATTAAACTTGTAGGAGTCTGACGAAGAATATGGAAGAGGGACAGAAAAGAAATAAAGGAAAGAAGATATGGAGTAGGGAATCATTCAAAACTGTTCTTATTCCTTCTCAATTCCCCATATTTTTAACAAAAGCAACACTTCATGATGATCTACGTATATAGGAAGTTCATAAACTCACCTTCTGAATTTCCTCTCTGCTGGTAACATATTCGCCCAGAATCCAAAGCTCTCCGCCAAGTTTTCCAGCCCAGTTATTTACCCTAGAAACAATAAACACCATCACTATATGAGTCCATGCCCAACAGTTTGTTTATTATGCTGTGCCTTACCATGGTGGCATGTGGAGTTGGTTGTAATGAACTGCCCGGTTCCAAGGATTTCAAGTCTTATAAATGTTGCCTTGTTCTGTCTCGTCACTGAGCAGCTCGATACAGCAGTTATGTCCTAAACTTTTATTCATGAGCTATCCAGTTTGAATCTCATCCTTTTCTTGCCTATTCTCAGATGTTGTATTTTCCTCAGTCTCTCCAGTGAAGGGAGGGGCCGGGCCCTGAAATAGGCCGTGACCATATCTTCAAAATCTCTAGCAATCAAATCATCTTCTCTTGTCGGCGAAGTTGCTGCCAACTTTAGTGGATATAGAGTGTCGCGTGGTCAGCGCAACGAATCCCCACGGCCCTTGTTTTCGGTTTTTCTAGACCGGAGCCGCTATTTCCTTGAAATAGCTCCTCAATTATCCTCACGAGGCTGAGTGCACCCGTTCCAGACCCACCTGGGACCTCTGGATCTGTAGCCGGGACCTCTGACCACCAGACCACAGTTATATTAATTTTAATATAAAATCTACCGAGGAAACACAAGGAAAACATTGGCCAGGGACGGTCACAATTTGACAAAATTGGCCGGCCAGTGTTCGAAACTGTGCACCATGAAACAGATATTGCCCAGAACTGGAGTTTTTCTTTTCCGACAGCTACCGGCCAACGTCAATAACAGCAAAATCGAGCGGTTATTATTCGCAGTCGCGGAGAGATCTGAGACATCACCGGATTTCGGTTTTTAACGATGGGCACCGACGGAAGAAGGGGAAATCCAGGCATCTATCCCCGCCTCCAGAATTAAAAAAATTAAGTGGAAAAAAGTAAATATGCCACATAACAATACTAAAAACTATAATTATATTTTTTTATTGTTCTGTTCTGAATACTCTTGGGCGATCAGCAAACATGGTCTTGAATGGCTTGAACATAATGTAGAATTGAAAGTTCTCACAGCCGTGGTTATGAAGAGTTCAACCTTCTAAGACATATAGGCGTGTAATCCTTTGAAAGTCAACCGACATTACGGAGGAATATTTCGCCTCCATCTTTATGGTCTGTTTTTTCCCCTTTCACGCTAGTTTCTTGCTTGATTTATTCTTCGGCCCAGAAGATGGAAACCACATATAGCTCCGAAACGTAGGTTCACTTTCAAAGGATTACACGATTTTATATCCCAGAAGATACTGCCCTTCAGCTTGACGTTAAGTTTGTAAGCGTCTTCCCCCCCCCCCCCGCCCCTGCAATAATACTGACGATACCCAAATCTGTAACTATTAACAACAATGCAGTCACGTAGTGGAAACATTTCGCAAATATCAGAAAGGGAATAAGGCGAACCGTTTCTAGACAGAGCCGATACAGATGTCAAGTAAGGATCTTCTTGCTGACGTGAAGGAGGAACATATAAATAGACAGCTAAAGGTGTTTATGCTTCAATAAAAGGAGAAGACTTGATTCGGGCGGCGTGCTGAACATTGCGACTCTGCCGCGCCAGATGCGCTGCCATGGAAACATTAAATAACCGTAACGCTTTAGCATACAAACACGTGATTGTGAGGAAATGAGTGGGTCAGATTTTTTTATGTGTAATGGTAAAGGAGGCATGTATCATCTACGATTCAAGTGCCGTTTGAGTGCCAAAATTCGTACTTTTCTGGCCCGTGGAACCCGTAATAGTTCTCTTTAAAACAGTCTCGCCTTATATCGAAGGTAAAATTAAGTAAAGTGAAGGTATCCCTATACCAGGCCTTGAAGGCCCATAGGGTTGTGAGATGTTGAGGGTCCCACATTTTCTAGACAATCGACTCATAGATGGCGGTAAGGTTGTCAGCTCTACGCGCCGGCCACCCTTTACCCCCAAGAACATTCTTGGTACTCATTTCTGTTAGAGGCTGAGTCGACCCCATGACCATAGTGCGGCTGGAGGGATTAGGTCAATTGAAAAAATCCAATGACCTCATCGGTTCTCGAAATCGCGACCTTCTGGCTTGTAGCATAGTGCCTCAATCTACTACGCTACTGCGTACCGAAGGTTTAAAGCACATTTAAAGAATCTAATAGTCAGCCTCTTAGGCAAAAAGTAATCTCCACGTAAGGGGAACCTAACCCCATGGGGCCGCTCAGCTACTCAAAAATTTCCTTACATTTCACGGAACCTGAAACTTCATTATCACGTTCATAACAGCCTGCTACTGGTCACTATCCTGAGCAAGCCCAATCCAGTCCATTCCATCCTATTTCTCTTAGATCTATTTTAATATTATACTCTCAACTGCGTCTAGATCTTCCTAGTTGAATCGTTCCTTCCGGCTTTCCCGCCAAAATCCTATATGCATAAAGCTTCTCCCCTATTCATGCTACATGCACTTCCAATCGCACAAAGGAACTGGGAATCCGATACCTCATTTGTGCCAACAAATGGCGTATGGGGAGAGCCAGATGCCTGTGATTTTTAGAAAAGTTGTCCCTGTACTTAACTAATTAAGCACTACGCCATGAAGGCGTATGGGGGAGTGGATGTATAGATCATATTTTATTGACCTCGGCACTGGTTTGAGGTGAGTGCTCATTCACGCCCCGGCCGCTTTACCCCCAGGGAAGGAGCCCCAGATACCCCCTGGATAGGATAGGCTGGGTGGGCCCTAAAGACGGGCTAGACGATGTGGAGAAGAGGAAATTCTTAGCTCTACCGGGACTCGAATTCCGATCATCCGTCGCCCAGCCAGTAGCCAGTCGCTGTACCCGGTTTCCCCTGTGGTTTTTAAAACAGTTCAAGAAAATTACCTTGGAGTACTTTCACTACGCAAAGTATACGCGTATATTTGTACAGCAGTAAATTCAATAACTGAGACTACACATTCTCAAAATGTGTTTTACGATGTTCAAGAGAATGTGCACCACGAAGAGATACTGTAATAATAAATACAGTTACTCTGTAACTGGCCTTTGGGCTGTTAGCAAGTAAATGAGTGAGAAGCGGAGTAGATTGAATTATTATTATTATTATTATGTTTGCACGTAAATAAATATGAATTGATTTGAACTGAATTACTGGTACGCGCTAAGTTAATTGGGGACTCTTCAATTTTTGTTGTAAGCAGTACTGTAAGGTCCAGTCTCTCAGTCAGGTGTACGAACGCTGCTAGTAGTTTATTTCACTTTCTCGGTGTTTGTATGCCCATTAAGAAGACAGCTTCTCTGGGAGATATATTTCCTTTGTGTAATTCTGGTTAAATTTGCCAATTATTTTTCAATTTATCTCTGTAATTACTTGTATTTGCGTTGTATTTCAGTGTTCGCCTCCTGCAATAGACCAATGTTGTTGCTAAGCACTCTGAAACGAGTTGAATTATTATTAGTGCAATCGCTGTTAAAAGCTTATGTTTAAATTTAGATAACATTAATTGGTCTAGTTTTTTCTTATTTGTCTGTAGGGGCACACGGTAGCGTAGTTGGTTGAGGGACTATGCTAAAAGCCGGAAGGCCGCGGGTTCAATTTCCGATGAGGCCATTGGATTTTTAAATTGACATACAATCCTTCCAGCCGCACTATGGCTCTGGGGTCGACTCAGCCTCTAACAGAAATGATTACCACGAACACGAATCTTCCTGGGGGTAAAGGACGGCCGGCGCGTAAGGTTGACAACCTCGCCGCCATCTGTGAGCCGACTATCTAGAAAATGTTGGAGCCTCGACGTCTCACAGCCTTATGGGTCTCCGCGGCCTGTCACAGGTATAGCTTTACCTTACCTTGTTTATCTGTTCTTGTCCTCATGTTCGCGTGTGTTGTTTTGTATTTGTTCTGAATCTGTAATTGACCCCTAACTGTTCAATTCATCAGGTAAATCAATAAATAATTGTTATTATTATTATTATTATTATTATTATTATTATTATTATTGCCATTATCACCAATGGTGTTTCGGTGTTGTTTTGTACGAGTGTGGAATGAATATGACGCAGGAACTCCAGCCACAAGACCCACGAATGCAGGTTTCGGATTAGTGATTACATCAGAGCAGAAATAAACTGTTACTTTGAAGGTTAAATATAGAATCATATGATAACTTAGAAGCCACTCGCCTATACGTATCTTGAAAGTAAGCAGAAGGCTTGCAGTGAAGGACATGACTGCTGAAGCTTGTTACTTCAGAACACATATTCAATTAAATGTGTGACTGTATCACCGGCAATCATTCTAATCACCACTACCAACCATGACTGGTTACCTCTACCTGCTGCCTCATGTTCGATACCCGTCACGAATCCGGTATATTCTGTGGCGCATTAACCTGTTGCTACCCAAAAACTTCGAAACAAACAACGAGACAACCGCCATTGTTATGCTACCGCAAACACGCCTCTACAACAATAGAGTTACTGTCGGAAACGGTTTTATGCAACCCATTGATAGGCAGCTGCAACAATTGGACTACAACAAATAAACGGGTGTGTTTTCTATGTGGTCCGTGCTTAGGAATTATCTTGAAGACAATGGGAGGCGGGGTCGAATACCTCCACCATGACCATGCGAGTCCTAGGAGGGTACGAAAAGGGAAGTCTCAAATCTGAGACAGTAAAATATGGTCACAAGTCCCACGGGACTCGGACCCGACAAAGACTGCGCCGGCAAAGGCCAGCAGCATATACAAAAGAAAGACCCATACTCTCGTCAGAGAGGGCGCCCCACAAAAAATAAGACCGTAACTGTCAAACATAAATAAATATCTGGTCATGAGCCCCGGATGGGGCTCGACACCATGGCTTACTGACTGTCAGTCGCAATGTGACTTTGTCTTTGACGACCCAGTTAGTTGTCAGCTGATAGCTGAGATCTACGCGGGAGTCTGTGAAGATAGAACCTGAGCGTGAGAAGCTGAAGAATCTCCACTGTTAGAAGCCGTTGTCAGGGAACAGCTGATGAAGACATAACAGGCTGG